AAACTCTATACCCTAAGTTTAGGTTTTAAACCCTGAATGAATAGGGTTTAAGCATTACGATGACTTTACGAATCAGTCGTTACATCGTCGTAACATTACGACGATTTTATGACGAGTTCACAAGCCAGTCGTAAAATCGTCGTAACATTGAAATCCAAGATTTTGAATCTTTTATATCTGATTGGTTGTAAGGTATTTCACAAATGTTTTTGATTGGTTATCTTATTTTATATGAAAAGTTGTCAATCTGATCAAAATCAGAAATTTGAAAAAAAAAACATACATATTTACAAGTTCATGCATGTTTTTGTAAATGTTAAGTAAAAGGTTATAAATTAGATAAGATGATTTCAATATTTATTATCTCATGTACTAAATCCGTCATACATGCAAAGTTATGAACCTATTGTTATATGTTAGTATAAAATAAGCTTTATGTAGTTCTTTATGCAATAAGCCTTGAAAGATTTAGGGTTTGATAACTTTTTTAAAAAACATCGTAAAACCGTCGTTACATGATCGTAACATTACGACGGTTTTACGACGAATGATCCTTAAACCATCGTTAAACCGTCGTAACGTTGATGACGATCATACATCTAACAGCTCACGGATTGACTCCAGATCCGAGATATGAAGTTATAAATGTTGGCATATTACGACAGTTTTACGACGATGTAGGGTTTAGTCGTCGTAAAACCGTCGTAATGTTAAAACGCTATGAACATGACATGTGTCATGTCATGCACTGGTACGATTGTTATACAACCAAATCGTCGTAAAATCGTCGTAACGTTACGACGATTTTACGACTATCACAAAATCTATATAAGGGACGCGAGTTTTCCTCCTTCGTCGCTCATTCCTCACTTCTCTCTCTCTCTCTACAAATAACTCTCTCTCTCTCTCTACATCTCCCTCCTCTCCCTCCTCTCCAGCTATTTTGTAAGATTTTTAAAAATTTTTTTTTTCATTATAATTTTGTTTAATTTTAAATAATTAGATAGATATAATTAGGGGATTTAGTTAGATTCGGAATTTAGATAGGCCCAGAATTTATAATTAAATGATATATTTAGTAATTATATTTCATTAAATTTTTTAGATTATTCAGATTATATGGCTCCTCGGACAAAGAGGTTCCACTACCGACATATGGTAGATCCGGACGGTACGGCTCCGTCCGCCTCAGCGACAGGGTCCGTCATCCCGGAATCTTCGGAACACAGCGAACGGTTTCGCAACCGGTCGTTGTACCACAGCCTGCACCGCCTCCATTACCACCAGCTGAACCAGCAGCCCCAGCACCAGCCGCAGCCCCGATACAGCCTGTACCGTATGCCTAATTTACGGTTCAGGATTTTCTACTCCAACCGGGTTGTGAGAATATGAACAAACTCGATCCGGATCGAGCGCCGGAGACATTTTGGTACGAAATTTTTTTTTTCAAATTTTTTTTAAACAAATAATATTTATAATTAATTGAAATATCTAACTTAATTTTTATTTGCATTTGACTAGGTTTACGACCGACAACGCGGTCGGGCGTAACGTTGTCGACATCATCAAGGGGTTTTTCGTACAACCCCATACCAGCTGGAAGAAGCTGGATCAGGCAATTCTTGACACTTGGTTCAAGTGTTTTGCTGTAAGTATTTCTTTAAAATTTCGATTTATATTATTATCTTTTATTTTTTACAATAATTACTAACTTTTTGTTTTTTCTAGCAAAACTGGCATTGGGAAACTTCCGCACACGGAAGTGTGGAGGCGGCCTTCAAAGAGAAGGTCAAGTTCTGCCTCAACAACACCGTTTCCGACTGGAAGCGGAAGTGAGAGGTCGACGGTGAGAAGGCCAAGCCGGCGCCAATGGCCGATACCTTCTGGCAGGGTCTGGTGCAATATTGGTTGCCTCCGCACAATCCTACTACTGCCGCCAAGTGTTCCACATCCAGGTATTTTTGTGTTTAGATTAAACTAAAATATGTGTTTTAATTTAATACAATTCTAATTACTATATTTTCAGGAATGCTACTGACGATGTGGGAAATCGGAAAAACGTCCCGCACACTTCCGGTCAGATTTCTTTCGCCGGGAGACGACTTATGATGGTAAATTTTTATTAATAAGTTTTTGTTTTTAAATAATTAACTCTTATTTTTCTTATTAATAATTTCATTTTGATTTTGTAGGTCGAAGAAAACGGGGGAGAACTTCCTCCGATGACGAAGGTCTTCGCCAAGACCCATAAGAAGAGGAACGACGAATTCACGGATCCTCGGGCGAAGGAGATCTACAACGCCGCCTGTGCGCGGATCGAGGAGCGGCAGACACAGCTCACTCACAGGCGCCTCCGACGTCTCCCGGAGGTAGCTCAGTCCAATCCACCCCGACACTGACGGTGGCGGAGATGGACTAGATCTTCGAAGAGGTAAGTGTATTCTTTTTCTTATTTAGTGTAAATTTAACTTTATATTATACTTTTTAACATAATTTTTTTACATATTTTCAGGTTGCCCCTAAGAAGAAGGGCCGGGTTTTAGGGATGGGATCCATCTGTGATACCCCAGTCGCTACGGCAACTGGTCATGTCCGGGCAGCGGATCCGCTTATCCGCCAGGAGATCCATCAGATGCGGACCCAGTATGAGACGAAGATCGACCAGTTGTACGGTCTCTTCGAGATTATGGGGGCCGACAACCCGGTGCTCATGGCGCAGTTGGACAGGTTGCGGGCGGCTGGAGTTGTCGGATCATCTGCTTCATCTTCTAGTAGGCAATCACCGGTGCAGACGGACGAGGAGATATTCCGGTCTCTCGGGGTTGATCCTCCTAGAGCCGGGGATCAGGCGCCGGAAGCCTCCAACCGAAGACCCGGAGATCAGGCGGCGGAAACTTCCAACCGAAGAACCAGCAAAGAACATGTGGCGCAGGATGGGGAGCAGGACGATGACGGGATCGACATTAGTTTAGATTTAGATTTTAGTGTTTTTTGTAATTATTAGAATTTATTTTTATTTTGAATTTTAATTAAAATTTAAATTGTAAATTATTGCTTTTTTAATTTAAAATTAATTCCGAATATTTTTTTTAATTTTATTTATAAAAAAACATCGTATAATTATCGTAATATATTTATTATTAATTTATTAAACCGTTGTATATTCGTCGAAACTCTTACGACGAAGTTACGACCACCTATTCGTCGTATATTATACGACGACTGATACGACGAATATACGTCCGTGTTTTACGACGGTTTTACGACGAAATGATAAAAACTTTTACGATTGAATTACGACGAAACTTGCGTCGTATACGACGATCCTACGTCGATTTTTAACGACGAGTTTACGACGGTTTTGCTGTATACCAAATCGAGGCAAATTGATGTAAAGTCGTCGTAAGCTGTACGACGCGTTTACGACGATCTTTTTATATTGATGTGACGACGAATATAAACCATCGTAGATTATAGGACGATTTTACGACGATTTATCTATTACGACGATGAATTTACGACGATTTGGAAATCGTCGGTAGTTCATCGTAATATGGCTATTACGACGAACTAGCGACGATTTTGGCCATTGTAAAATGGTGTTTTTCTTGTAGTGTTACTATAGCTTCTTCTTCTTTGTTAAATCATAAATGTGATTTTTTATCGAAGATATCATTTTATAAAGTAAAGAAAACGTATTTTCAACAATACAAAAGAAGAAAACAAGATTAGATTATTTGCATTGTGATAATTTGTTATAATTCAAACCATATCCGTTATATCAAAACAGTCATGATTATGACAAAAGAATTTTGATGTAATTTGGAGAGTTATAAAATGAATTTTTTTTTATCGGCTAAAACCATCAACCATCTTCGGGCTTGATTGGTAGAGTTTTTACAAGAGCATTAAATTTTTTGTCATCCAAATACTCTTTTTAATCTTTACTTTCACATGCAATTTATGGCGATGGGAAGGAGAAAAAATTCTAAGCTAATTTAACTAAAAAACATCATGGGAGCAAACTCGTACAACACAACCGACCTAAGAGTAGTATAAGGGCGTATGGTTTTTAAAGGCAACACCCAGATACTCTTTTATTTCATGGCTTGCTATGCACGGGAGATAAAATAATCACCTGAAATGTTGGAGGAATCATTTCATGCATTTTAATTTCTGCCAAGCTCTAGAAGTCGAAATCATATTTTTTTTAGTGCAGCTTCGCAGAGGAGGTGTGGGCAGGTTAAACTCGACAGCTCATGGGAGCAAGATACACGAACATCTGGGGGGACATCATTTATCTCCTTACACGAAAAGTATGTTTTTATCCATAAAGTCTCATTACAAACCGAACGAGATTGGCTCATCGAGGAAGATTATTTTGAGAAGCTGGCTGTAGCAATACCAAGCATTATCTAAATATTGTTTTGTAGTCTGGTCCAACTAAGCTTATGCAAGTGTAACTCATGTCACCAACCACTCAAAAGATATGAAAACAAGAAAATGTAAAAGTGGATAAGCTTACGAAAGAAGCAAAATTACAGAGAGAGTAACGAGCATATCGAAATGAAACCAACATGTAAAGAGCTAACACTCATGTAATTTTTAAGAAAAACTACCGACTCGAATGTAAAATATCTTTGAACTCAAATCGTTTATAATATTTTGAGGATTGATTCGAAAAAAAAATGAAGAAACTAAAAAAATGTATGTAATGTTATGTGATTAGCACAATGTGTCTGATAGATGTTATTTATAAATAGTTTTTGGTGGAATGATAATCAGTTGAAGATCCATCATTGTGATTAGGCAGGTTGACTCGTGAGTTACAAAGTCTTGAGAAGAGAGCGAAGTGGCAAGTGAATATATTCATAAATATTATTTCGTTGCAAAAGGGATATCAAAAGTCCAAAATTAGTTAATCATAGGAGGAGAATATATAGTTTGGTTTCAAAACATAGTGTGTGGAACAAGAAATGAAAGAAACCAAGATGATATAATTAACTCTGATCAAATCGTAAAATATTGTAAATGTCCTTTCTCTTGCTTCTTCTACCACCAACAACTTCTTGAAGACCCTTCATCTTAGACTACACAGTGTGAGGTTCGCAAGTCTCAGATACAAAACTCACGGTGCATCGATCCTGCAGGTCAAGATCTGACATTTTACTTCCAAGGAGGAAACAAGGGGCAAGAAAAGGGAAAACGGGAGATTTTTGATACCTTCCAAGTCAAACCAAGATCCTTGAAACACTGTTCGACAGTCTTCTCCAACACAACATCTTCACAGAAGTGGGAAATGCATATCCGATCAACAGAATCCTTGAACTCTTGCAGTGATGAGCCTTCCGCTAAGACCTTCTTTCCGGTTTTCAAAATGTAGCAGCTCAAAGCATTGTTGATATGACCCAATAAATTCGTCTCAGAGAACAGATCATACATCCTATGAAGGTCCTCCCTGAATCTCTTATCCATCATCTCCTCAAAACCCTGCAACCACATGTGCTTGCTTAGAGGGAAACTTTACTCACAAAATTAATCACAGAGACATATCAAGAGAGAAAGAAAGGGCTTTCTTGTGAGGACCTTTTCAACAATGGCAGAAGCACGAGCACCCAAGAGTTCCCTCTCTACAACATTAAGCAGCTCATCCTCGAACACTCTAAAAAAGTAGAGGGTGTGGCATTTTTCCTTCTCCTCACACAACCTTCGCTGCAAACAATCACCCAAAAAAAAAAAAAAAAGAGAAAAGAGTTAGCTACTCCGGGGTTATGCAACTACAAATCCGTGAAAACAGCTTATATGAAGAAAGGGAAGAAATGTAACCTCGGCATACTTCAAGTACTGTGGAAGGTCGGATTGCCAGGACTTGCACAGCTTCCGCAGCGTAAAATTCAGCCGCACACTCAACAAAAGGCTTCTCAAAGAAACGAGTCGCATAGAAAAAATCCCCTCTAAACATAGCCATAATATTCTTTAGCAGGCTCACGTCAACAGATTTGCCTGATCTGGTGGTGAACAAAGGAGTGAGTAAAACTCTAACAGTACCTAATAAAATAAAAAAAACTATTCCAATAGGCAACAGCTCATTTACCTTTGATCTCTAATGAGTACTACAATGTTGGAAAGAACCTTGTCACAAAGTTGAGAGGCCAAGCAGAGACGTGTGGGGAAAAGCTCAAGACCCAACTCCCAAAACGAACTTTCCCGGACTCTCTGATGAGCTTCACTTCCGGCCAAAGTGCAGAGATACTCCATCTTGCGGCAATTATCCAGCTAACATTTCTCCATGAGTGGCAAGAAAACGGAGGGATCATCATTGCATTTCCCTTCTAAAGACTGTAGGTCTGCAGAGATGAATGTCCCACACTCCTCCAGAATCATATCGTAAAGGGTTGCTCCTACCTTTGAATCCTTCCATGCGAGATGAACAGCCTGGTTGATGCAACAAACAGCTTAACAAGTCCCTTAAAGAAAGAAGAATAATCGTCAAAAACTTCTAAAGAACATACGTTGAATATATCAATGCTGATGAAACATTGTGGCTCATCGAGGAAGATGCTTCTTATAGCTGGCTTTAGCTTTCCCCAAGCATTGTCCAAGTAGTTAATTTTGAGGTCTACTTTAGCTAGAGATATTGAAAAAGAAAAAGAAAAAAAAAACACAAACACAAACAGAAAGATATTTATAGACACGAAAACAAAATACACAGACAAAAAAGTTTTGAGAATCAATACGTACTCCATTCAGGGATGGCGATCTTGAAAACACGTTGAAGAGCAGTTTTCTTGTTAATAGGACCGCTAAAACTGGTTGAGCATCTCGTGGATTGTGGATTCACCATAGCCGATTCGGAACCATGAAAAAACGTACGGATCTTCATTGCGTCTGATGGGCGGTCTTTTATTGATTGCCAATTGTGAAGAGAAATAAATCTCAGTGGCAACACTATCCACATATCCAGCAGAGACAGCGTCTGATGACATCGGGGATTCTGATTTCGACATAAGAACGCAACTGAAAGGAGGAAAGACTATAAGACGGTCGGATTCGCTAAAACCAAATCGGCCAAACGAAACCCTAATTGTATAAAACCAAACCTTGCGTGTGAGGGTTGTTTCGAACAAACAACTGATTTCATTTTTAACGTTTTATTGGCAATATCTCATTAGAAGCCCAAAACATGTAGTTTACTGGCATGTGGTCTGTGTGCGTATTTTCAGGGACTATCCATGTTACCGGAAGGATTTCAAGACTCTTTCCTGACTCCCATGGTCTTCATATTCATCTTTTGATGATACCATATATTGCTGCAATTATACTGGTTGGTTTTTTACTCTGTTATCACAAACTGTGTTACATTATTAAAGACTTGTTTAAACACGCCAAAAACCGTATCGCTATACCTATGCAGCTATGCCTAATCCTACTAAAATTAATTTTTTATATTGTTTTGGCTTCAGTTGCTATTTTTAATTTGTCAACATTGAACTATTCGTTAACCAAAGCAAAAACATTGACCTATAATCAGCTTAGCTAAACATTAGGTTCATAAACACAAGGAACACGCAAAAACCTTATCCTTGTCTATGCCTAATCAGATTGGTTGATCTATTATTTGTTTCTTTTTTAGGTTGAGCTAGACATGTCAATTCTAAACAAGTTTCTGGTTTTCAAATCTAATTTCAACCTTTACATGTAAAAAGTGCCAAAAAAAAAACCAATGAATTTTTTTGGTAAGACTCCCTCTGAGTTTATTCTCACCAGCACTCTCTAGACTTGTTCTTGCAATCAATTTGACCTATCTTGGCTTGGTTTCCAGCTTTGCTACTATTTTACTGTTTTTCTTGTGCTTAATATCTAAGCTCACTTTTCTACTTATAAGCATGGCAATTTTTTCCACATTTTTTCTATACCAGAAATGCCATTGTTCTATGTCTTGTATCATTGTAGTCTCCTAATCAACAAATGTGTGAAAGTTTTGGTAGTATGTAATATGTTCACTACCATATCAATTCTAGGAGGGTCGCTAAGCCAGTTCAAACGTTAAGATGAAGTCAAACAAACTATGAATACACCTCTAGCTTATTGTTGATATGTGATATCACACAAAGGGGCAAAACAGTAATTTAGATCGGTAATTCGGATTTTATTAATATCAGATCAGCGAAAAATACAACTGAGTTCGTTTATGAGAGTGATAAACGAACTAAGACTTAGGAAACTAAGAAGCTAACAATATCTTGAATTCTCTGTCTCTAAGTCTCTTCGGATTTTATTAGGTCCTCTAGTGTCGATTCTTCTCCTTTTATATATGTGCTTTCAGTCGGTCTTCGCAAGACATCTCCTTGATATGGGACCGAGTTTTTTTCTCTCTCGAGTTTCATTTTTCGTTCGGGAACTATTCCTTTTCTACTCGAACTCAGGATCCTTCTTGATTCCTTTGAGAAGGTCTGACCGACTTCGTGATAATGAGCCATGTTCGGTCCAGGAGTTTGTTGGGCTCAATCTTCCCGGTACAGTTCATTCGTAAACTAAATTTAATTCGTGCCGATCTCAGTTTGTACTGAAGAAAATCGAGGGTGCAGTTTTCACCTCCAACACTTATTACAAGTTAAGTTTCATACTCAATCAACCTTGAAACCGAATTTCTGTTAGTAATGATATATATAGGCTTGTCAAAGTGGACAAATCCATCTACTTAATCTATTTTGCAATTTACTAAAATATTTTTTCGACCAACCCGTAAAAAATACAATTTTAATTTTGAAAATATAGTTTTTTTATAAAATAATTGAATTGATTTTCGAAAATGTTACTAATTAATTATGAAAATACAAATGAAAAAATATTGCAAAAATTTAAATAGATTTTTTCACATATATTGATTGATTATTATTTAAAATAATAGAATATATTTTAATATTTAATAAGTAAAGAAACTAAATACACTTTTGATTTATATCCATATATATTCAAAACAAATTTGTAAGTTTTTTTTTTAACTATCTCTTACAGAATATTTAATTGAGCTTCCTATATTTGTAAAATTTATTTATGTAATATATTATAAATAAATATTCATTTATGTAAAATATTTTGTAATATTTTACAACAACATTGAACTTTTTACAAGAGCATTAAACTTTTTATCATCCAATCAAGTTTTATTAGTAAAACATTTTAAAAGGTATTGGGAGCTTCCAAATACTCTTTTTAATCTTTATTTTCACATACAATTTATTGCGATGGGAAGGAGACAAAATTCAAGCTAATTCAACTCAAAAACAACATGGAAGCAAACTCGTACAATACAACCGACCCAAAAGTAGTATAAGGGCGTATGGCTTTCAAACGCAACACCCAAATACTCTTTTATTTCATGGCTTGCGATGCACAATAGATTATCGACGGAAGATAGAATAATCACATGGAATGTCGGAGGAATATTTTCATGCATTTTAATTTCTGCCAAGCTGTAAGAAATCGAAATCATTTTTTTAGCAGCATACTGCATATGCTTCTTATGCCACTGACATACTACTTTTTTTTTTTAAAGATAATTAAATTACTAACAGAAGAAAATAAATATTAAAATTCTCAGGAAGAAAGTTTGAGTGGCCAGAACTTGTTGGAGAAAGTGGAGAAATTGCCAAAATGACGATCGAAAGAGAAAATCTAAATGTTTCAGGGTTTATCTTGCCAAATGGAAGGAAGCGGATTGAAGACTTTTGCTGCAACAGGGTTTTTATCTTTGTAGGTTCCAAGGGACATGTTGCAATGATTCCTCAGATCGGCTAGGCGGCTAGCTAATCTTTTGTAAACCTATTATCTCTATATGTTTTACCATTACTATTAATAAAACAATCATCAATAAGATATCAATTTACTATAACTTCTTCTTTGTTAAATCATAAATGTGAAATTTTTTTTATTGAAGATATCACTTTATAAAGTAAAGAGAACGTATTTTCAACAATACAAAACAAGAAAACAAGATAATACAAAATAAATAAACAAGACAGATGAGCTTGTGACATAAGTATTTAAGTTCAATCTTCATGATATCAAATCAAAATCATGTATATATTTTAATTGTTATGCAATTTTTTAGTGCATTTGGATTGTAGTATAATTAGGAATTAACCTACACATTGTGCGCTATAATGTTTTCTAAATTGTCTTTAATTTTAATATTTTTGGTTAAATTCAAATTAGTGGCAATTAGATAACAATATATAAATATATAAATATTACACAACCGATATTTACCGATATTTATTTGTATATATATCTACCGAATAAGATTTTGAGCTAGTTTTGTTATGCAATTTAATTATTAGTAGTTTTTAAATGTGCAAGTGATATAATGTTAATATATATATATATATATCAATATGGATTAGAATATATATATATATATATATATCCATAAAATAAGAATTTAATTGTGATATTTTATTAGAGATCAACTATCATTTTTAGTTAATAAATTCTATAATATGTGTTAATAATGATATATATAGGATTGTCAAAGTGGACAAATCCGTTTACTTAATGTATTTCAAAATTTAATAAAATATATTTTCGACCAATCCGTAAAAAATACAATTTAAATTTTGAAAATATATTTCAGTTTTTTTATAAAATAATTGAATTGATTTTTGAAAATTTTACTAATTAATGATGAAAATACAAATGAAAAAATATTGCAAAACTTTAAATAAAAATTTTCACATATATTGATTGATTATTATTTAAAATGATATAATATATTTTAATATTTAATAAGTAAATAAACTAAATACACTTTTTATTTATATCTATATATATTCAAAATAAATTTGTAAACTCTTTTTTTAACTATCTCTTATAGAATATTTAATTGAGCTTTCTATATTTGTAAAATTTATTTATTTAATATATTATAAGTAAATATTTATTTATGTAATATATTATAAATAAATATTTATTTATGTAAAATATTCTGTAATATTTTACAAATAAAAGTTCATTTTTGTAAATATCTACTTAAATAATTATATAGAGATGTGCTTTGCATGTATTTTGTTATAGCATGCTTCTTCATTTATATCGCAGATTATAAAAGTTATATATGTAATTGATTCAACTATTTGAATTAATTTTGGAAGGAAATTTGGGAAAGAGTAACTTTTACAATTAACTCTACTTTTACATTTGTCTCAATGGCTAAAGATCACATTACGTTTAAAACGCTGTCGTTTGGCACGATATCGCATTACGTTTCGTTTGCCACCGCATCGCTTGACCCTTGAAACGCTGTCGTTTGAAACTATATCGCATGATGCTTCAAAAGCTATCGTTTGGGGCCATATTGCTTGACGGTTAAAACGCTACCGTTTTAAAAATCTAACAGCCGTTGTGCTTATGTTATGTAATGCCGAGGAGAGACGATTCAAAGCTCTTAGGAGTCTGAGGCCGAAAGAGATGGTAGCAATTCGCGTCTTGTCGCGAAAATTCCCAACTTTCGCTTCGATTTTCTTCCAAAACCTGACTAGAAATCCAACAATACATCGAATTTCATTCTCGTATCTAATTAAACCCAAGACCCTACACCCTGTTTCGCCGAAACCCTTCACGGTGTTTGCTGCTCAGTTCCATGACGGGAGGCCAAGGGGTCCTCTCTGGAGAGGGAAGAAGCTGATCGGAAAAGAGGCCCTTTTCGTGATTCTGGGTCTCAAGAGGTTGAAGGAAGACGACGAGAAGCTGGACAAGTTTATAAAGACCCATGTTTTCAGATTGTTGAAGTTAGACATGTTAGCTGTTATCGGCGAGCTTGAAAGACAGGAAGAGACTGCGCTAGCTATCAAGGTGATTCCTCCATGTTCTCTCTCAGGATTTTTTTCGCTTCGGGCTTATCTTTTTACTTGCGTCGCTTTTAGTTTGATTTCAGGTGTGGGTCTTTGTTTGGGAAAATTATTTGACCTGTTATGGATACTACGATCGTGTATCCGTTTGCATCATAATGTTCGATGTTTCTGTTCAGAAAATGTGGGTCAATTTTGGTAGATGCAGAGTCTTGTGAAGTTGCTCGTAAACTGTTCGACGAAATGCCTGAGCAGAGTTGACATTAGAGTAATCTGTATGCTTAAGTTAATAACTCATCATCAAGTTCAAAACTTTCCTTTATGAATCATATACGCATGTTCTCGTGGTTCTGTGTCTTTCCTAAGTCTTGTTTCTTTTGTACCTCTTAGTTCATACATTTCATTTTGTGGTTGTTAACGATTGGTTTCTTGACCTTAAACAGATGTTCGAGGTGATACAGAAGCAGGAATGGTACCAACCCGATGTGTTTATGTACAAGGACCTTATAGTATCTCTAGCAAAGAGTAAAAGAATGGATGAAGCAATGGGGCTTTGGGAGAAAATGAAGAAAGAGAACCTCTTTCCGGATTCGCAGACTTACACTGAGGTTATCAGAGGGTTTCTGAGAGATGGATGTCCCGCTGATGCCATGAATGTGTATGAAGACATGTTGAAATCTCCAGATCCGCCGGAAGAGTTGCCGTTTAGGGTTCTGTTGAAGGGGCTTTTGCCGCATCCGCTTCTCAGAAACAAAGTGAAGAAAGACTTCGAGGAGTTGTTCCCTGAGAAACATGCTTATGATCCACCAGAAGAGATATTTGGTAGATGTTGAGGTGTGTATGCATAAAAATTCTACTCTACTATATCTCAGTGTTTCTCAATTTGTTTCTCTGGAATTTGTGTTTACTCCTCTTATGAAGTTTCAGTCTTTTCACACAATAAAGTAGTTAAAAAAATCATGTCTTATTGTAGATCAGTATGAATCTTGAATTGCACGCTGAAACAATATCAACAGGAAAGGTCTGTGACTGTTATTCAATATCAACGTGCTTATGACTTGTGTGCATTGTGTAAGCTCTGAACAATAACAACAGGGGAAGTCTATCTTGATCAAGATCGAGATTGTGTTCTCTCTTGAAGAAGTAAACATCAATAGACGTTACATCACAACGAACTTATACGAACCCAAATAACGTGGAGACTATTCCTTGTTCTGATGCTGCATAATATTAGTCAAAGACCGAACTTTTGTGAAAAGATTCTAAGTTGACAACTTTTCCACATTTCTCTCTGGCCTCTCAAGTTGTTGAAGGGGTTCTCTTTACGTTATTCCTTCATGATCAATTTGGTAGAGATTTAATACTGTTTAGCAGATTATTCTACTTAATCGTTGTTGGCGTGCACGGCTTTGCCCGCGCAGGTTTGAATCCTGCCGCTCACGGTTTTTTATGTTTTAATTGTTTTTAATGTGATTATTGACTCCCAAAAAGCGAAGGCATCTGCAAACTTAAGTGCCATGCTGGTTTTTAGCTCTCACATGACTAAATCCATTTGAGTATCTCGAATATTATGTGGTCATATAGTATTATTATACTTATCCTCACCTTATTGTTGGAAAAAAAACATAGAAATTTAAGTATACACTAGATTCTAACCCCGTGCATCCGCATGAGAATATTTTTTATTGTTTAACGAATTTGTAATATAATTTGGGTTTTTGAGTTTAGATATAATTATTTTTATAAATATATTTTTTAATAAGTGAAAATATTGATTTTTGTGTTTAGATATATTTTTATAGTATTAAAATTAATTATGATTATAAAAATATAATTTTAACCCGTCCGGTAATATTAATTCAAAATAAACTATTCAAAAAACATAATTCTAACTTTTTCGTTCATATTACCGTATAATATAAATATTTGTTAAAAGTTTGAGATGTATTAACAGTATTATTTAGCATTATAGTTTTCTAAAATTTAATCAACGAAGGGAGTGTACAACTGATTTTTCAAACCACATTATAGTGTATGCAATAATTTTTAATTTTTTATGTTTTGATTTTGTATGAAAAATATATTTTCGATTGTATAATTCAAAATTAGTGATTTTAGTTACCAAAATATTTTTAACCCGGTTTTTATATAATTTTAGTTCTATGAATTTTAAAAAATGTATTTTTAATATTTAAATTATATATTTGAATTTTACTTATTATTTTATTATTAATTTGTAAATAAATCATAATCGTAAATATATTATATAAGCAACATAAATATCATATCATTTACATCATTATAAATATTTTATATTTCAAATATGACCATTAATTTTTATATGTGAATTATGTTTTATATTTTTGATAAAAATGTTTAATAGTATAAAAATTATTTAAATTAGAATCTTTAAATCAAATCTAAATTAATATCTGATTTATTATTTTTAATCAAATCAAATCAAATCTAAATTACCTATATTTAAGGAATTATAAAAATATTTAAATTAATAAATAATTTTCGAAATTAAATATAAATAATTATTAAAATTATTTTTAAACACTTAAAAAAAATTATGAGTGTTTGGAAGCAAGTACTAAATTATGACATCCACTTGACGAGACAAGGAGAACAATTTTGGTTTGGGATCAAAGATATTTGACCATTCTTTTTATTAATGTGACATTACTGGTGAAATCTTTTGATAATGACGTTAAGATCTTCCCGCCGTTTAATCTTCTTTTTGAAAATAATGTTAAAGAAGCTCAAGTACAATTATTATTGGCTCTTTGTGATCAAGAAAGGTTGGAAACTTTTAGAGAGGTGGTAAATATTGTTAGAACCCAATATTAATAAGCATTTGGACTTGTAATATTGAGTTTGTGTGTGAATAAGAAAGAAAGTTTAATAAGCAAATGAGCCTTATAAATTCATTTGAGATTTGGGTTTGAGCCTATGGAAATGAAATGTTCCTATTGGCTATAACTAAAAGTGGAAGTTTAGTGGAAGTGTATTTGTCCCACATTGCTTACAAAGGAGAAAAATCTCTTGTATAAATATGACATTCTCACAATAAGGGTCAACAGCATTGTGGAAGTAAAAGAGCATTATGCAAAAACACCTACGCGCGCCGCCGCCGCCGGTGCCGGTGCCGGGCTCGGGCTCGGGCTCGTTGCTCGTTGCATTTTTTAATTGGCTCTTAGGGCTCTTGGGCTCTATATAGCTGGGTCGTGGGCTTCTTAGTTCCTGCGAAATATTTTTTGCATATTGAAAGGATAAATCTTAGGAAATAAAAGATTGCGTCCAGATAATAACGGAAGATTTCCGAATCCTTTTACTTGCGGAAAAAGGAGAATATTTTGTGAATATTCCTTTTTCGCAAAAGCTTATTCCTTGCAGATCAAGCTGAACCTTCCGGTATAAATAGACGCCCTCTTCTCTCATTCTAGATCATCGAATTAAGAATCGAATTTTCGAATACTCCAAACACACAGCAAATCCCTCTCGTCTTAATATCGTAAGTGTCTCGAGAGTTATAGCGTAGTATTTTAGTTCGCAGATTCTATTACGGGTGTTGCGTAATAGTCTCATCCCAGTTGTATCCTGGGATTCAAAAATCGCAACAAACCGTCACACACTACGGGCGATTTATTGAGTTAAGGAAAGAGATCATATCTCGACTCCGTGTTTTCGTCTGTTTTCAATCGGTTTTCAAACTCTCGTTTTAATCTCTTACCTTAACATATCGTTTATAATATTGCTATTTTCTATTCGTGATTTCAATCAGATTTCGCGGTCTTACAATCTTAACTCAATAAATCCGCTTCCTGCTTATCGCTTGAATCGGATTGAATTTTGCGAAACAGTTCTTATAAACGGTTTTTTGAGAAAACGAGTTTTTAAAATCGATCTACAAAGTGTCTGCAAAAGTTTCTTAGCTATTTCGTAGAACTTTTGATCTGTTAAAGACGAATCTTCTGAAACGGTTTATGCGGCAGTCTTAGACAGGCCCGCAAAACGTGTTAGGGTTTAAGAACGTCATCAAAAGACGATTCTGGGAACACCTATTTTCGAGTTCTAAGAATACTTGTTGGTAATATCTGTGGAAACTGAAAGCAAATCCTTTTCGGAAAAATGCTGTTCATAGCGACTTAAACGTTTTAATCGCTGATTTGAATCTTGGTTCTCAATACTAACTTCGGTTATCTTCTGTGAACAGATTCAACTATGACTGATGGTGATGTCAACATGACTACCAATGGAAGCTCGGGTGAAGTCAGGATGCCAGCGTCGGTAACCGCAGGACTTCAGCCCGACAAGTTTGATGGTTCGAACTTCAAGCAGTGGCAAGAAAGGATGCACTTCTTTCTGTCGTCAATGCAGCTGAGCAAGTACCTCACAAAGGATCCCCCAACAGTGCCAGACGGAAACAAAGATGTTACGATTCCAGCTACTGTTGAAGCATGGAAGCACTCAGACTTCCTATGCAAAGGACACATCAAGAATCGCCTGGTGGACCAGCTGTTTGATGTGTACAGTGAGGTCAAAACTTCCAAAGAACTCTGGGATGCTTTGGAAAAGAAGTACAAGTCGTACAATGTCGGCTCTGGGAAATTCGCTACAGCGAAACTCCTCAAGTTTGAGATGGTGGATTCTCGTCCCATCATGCCACAAGTACACGAGCTGGAACTAATCTTTCAAGAGATTAGGACTGAAGGAATGAAGCTATGTGAGACATTCACGGTGAACTGCTTCATTGAGAAGTTACCTCCAAGTTGGGCAGACTTCCAGAACTATCTTGCTTACAAGCAAAAGGCCCTGTCTCTGGCAAATCTGATCTCCAGATTGCAGAATGAGTCTCTAAAACGTGACAGAGTTGGAAAAGAAGATAGTCAGATCATTATCCATGATGCAAACGTGGCTGAGTACAGGAAAAAGGGCAAAGGCAAACAGTCCAACAAGGCTGTGCCTAACAAGTTTCCTCCACGAAACAACACTAGCTTCAAGAAGCAAGGTCAAGCACCCATGAAAAACAAGTTCAATGGGAACTGCAACTACTGCAACAAGCTTGGACATAAGTCTTCAGAGTGTCGCCGAAAGGCTAAGTCTGAGAACAACCAAGCTCACTTGACTGAAGCAGACCTGTGTGCAATGGTTATAGAGGCTAACTTGGTGGAAGAGAACCCCAAGGCGTGGTGGTATGACACAGGTGCTACCACACACATCTGTATTGACAGAGAGATGTTCAGTACCTATCAGAAGTGCAAGACTGATGATCAATTGAAGATGGGAAACGTCTCCCAATCCAAAATTGAAGGTACTGGAAAAGTTGTGTTGAAGATGACTTCAGGCATGGAGGTTACTCTCAACAACGTGAAACATGTTCCAGACATGAGGAAGAACCTGATCTCTGGTACTCTAATGAGCAAGCATGGTTTTGCAATCAACTTTGAGTCTGACCAGCTGATACTTAGGAAGAATGGTGTTTTCATAGGAAAAGGTTATGTTAAGTCAGGATTGATCAAAATGTCTGTAATGACAATCCTGAAGAAAAACAAAGTTGTACCTGATTCCAAAGATTTAATTAATAAGAATCCAGTTGCTTATGTGGTTGAGTCTTCCAATATTTGGCATGAACGTTTAGGACATGTTAATTACAAGTCTATTCAAAGACTGATGAATTTGAACATGATTCCAAAATGCAAAATTAGCAAAGACAAATGTGAAATTTGTGTCCAAGCAAAGCTCACAAAAACACCATCACCTCATGTTGAACGAACTACCGAACCTCTTGGATTAATCCACACTGATCTGTGCGATTTAAAATATCTACCATCAAGAGGTGGTAAAAAGTATTTTGTGACTTTCATTGATGATTGTACAAGGTACTGCTACGTGTACTTGCTGCGTAGTAAAGATGAAGTCTTGGACAAATTCAAAGAGTACAAACTCGAAGTTGAAAAGCAACTGGCAAAGACCATCAAAATGGTCAGAAGTGATAGGGGTGGAGAATATGATGGACCTTTCAATGAGTTTTGCCAGAAAAACGGAATTGTCCATCAAACTACAGCCCCCTATTCACCTGAATCCAATGGAGTTGCTGAAAGAAAGAACCGAACTCTGAAGGAGATGATGAATGCAATGTTGCAGGAATCTGGGACACCCCAGAATCTGTGGGGGGAAGCACTGCTCACCACAAATTATATCCTCAACAAAATACCTCATAAGGTAACTGGCAAAACACCGTATGAACTTTGGAAAGGTAATGTACCTTCGTACAAATACCTGAAAGTGTGGGGGTGCTTAGCAAAAGTCGCAGTGCCACCTCCAAAGAAGGTCACAATTAGACCTAAGACTGTGGACTGTATCTTTATCGGATATGCTCACAATAGTAGTGCTTATCGATTTCTGGTACATAAGTCAGATGTATCAGATGTCCAAGTGAATATTATCATGGAATCAAGGAATGCTTCTTTCTTTGAAAACATATTTCCATATAAAGATAAGCAAACTACTAAACGCACTCGTGAAGAAAGAGATGCGAATACTTCTGTAAATGAGATGGAAGTAGAACAGGTTGAAGATGAACCTAGACGAAGCAAAAGAGCTCGTAAGGAAAAATCTTTTGGTGAAGATTTCATGATGGTCTTTCTTGTCGAGAATGAACCGAGATCTTACACAGAAGCCATGTCTACACCAGAAGCTCCTTATTGGAAGGATGCTGTCAATAGTGAGATGAATTCTATAATGCAGAATCATACCTATGAGATAACTGACTTACCTCAAGGGTTCAAAGCACAAGGGTGTAAATGGATTTTCAAGACCAAGCTGAAAGCTGATGGTTCTATAGATAAGTACAAGGCACGCCTTGTGGTGCAAGGATTCAGACAAAAAGAAGGTCTAGATTTCTTTGACACCTATTCTCCAGTTACGAGAATAACTTCGATCAGAATATTGATTGGCGTAGCAGCCTTGGGAGGCTTGGAAATCCATCAGATGGATGTTAAAACTGCCTTTCTAAATGGTGATTTAGAAGAAGAAATATACATGAAACAACCCGAAGGTTTCGAGGTTAAGGGTCAAGAGCACAAAGTGTGTAGACTCGTGAAATCATTGTATGGACTGAAACAAGCTCCAAAACAATGGCACGAAAAGTTTGACAATGTGATGATGTCAAATGGTTTCAGCATTAACGAATGTGATAAATGCATCTACTACATATGTACTCCAAACGGATACATCTTACTATGTCTGTATGTAGATGACATGCTGATTATTGGCAGTAACAAAGATATCATTCAACAAACCAAGAACATGCTCAATGGAAAATTTGACATGAAAGACATGGGACTTGCAGATGTCATTCTTGGGATTAATATCATTTGAACTTCAGATGGAATTACTCTGTCTCAAGATCACTATGCTGAAAAGATCCTAGAGAGGTTTAAGACCTACTCGAATGGAACCGCAAAAACTCCAATGGATATGCAAGCTCACCTAACCAAGAACACAGGTGAACCAGTATCACAGGTGGAGTATGCACGGGTAATTGGAAGTCTGATGTACTTGACCAATTGTACAAGACCCGATCTAGCGCATGCGGTAAACGTGTTAAGTCGCTACACAAGTAATCCAGGTCATACTCATTGGAAAGCAATAACTAGATTGTTGAACTATTTGCGATACACTAAGAGTTATGGGCTGCACTTTGGTAAAGAGCCAGCAGTGTTAGAAGGGTACAGTGATGCCAATTGGATTTCAGATTCTAGAAATTCCAAATCCACAAGTGGATATATCTTTACACTCGCTGGAGCAGCAGTATCCTGGAAATCTTCCAAACAGACACTCCTGGCCAGATCAACCATGAAGTCAGAGTTCATAGCTTTAGACAAAGCAGCCGAAGAAGCAGAATGGCTTCAGAACTTCCTGGAAGATATCCCGATGTGGGAAAAACCAGTGCCAGCATTACGTGTACATTGTGATAGTCAATCGGCTATATCTCGGGCACTGAATAATCTGTACAATGGCAAGTCTCGTCACATACGAAGACGACATAAGACCATTAGACATCTGATCTCAAGTGGTGTACTCACGGTTGATTACATCAAGTCAGCGGAAAATTTAGCGGATCCGTTCACCAAAAACTTGCCGCGAGATCAAATCATTAAATCATCTAAGGGAATGGGCTTATTGCCTATCACAAAAGAGGATGTTTGATGGAAACCCCACCTATGCGATTGGAGATCCCAAGAGGTTGGTTCAAAGGAACAACTAAATCAAGCAGAATCTGAGAAAAGCACTGAAAAATGCTCAATTTCCATGATGATAAACAGTGCTTCCTGTAATTATGTAAGGTTAAGCTTTATGGCTTTTAATGAGATAAGACCATAGCCTTCATATACATGTATATAGAGTATAACAGGATACTTTCTGTGTATGTGACAGGTACTTGGCAATCACCTAGTGAGTGTGAAATGAGGCCGTTTCTAGGAGAACGAAGACAAGTCTATACTCTCCAAGTTCACTCATGATAAACCAGGCACGTTCAAGGCCACAATGAACACAATAGAGAACTGAATGCTACGAGAAGACAAAGCTGGGTTGTATCTGTTGATTTGGTTTACACCAAAATTCGGGTGGTTCAAGACATCATGTTCACTTCCTGGAGAGTAAATCCGACAGATATTAACAATGAGTAGTTCAAGGCTGAAAAACGCTACTTCCTCAGACACAGTTAGTTTTCGCTTATACTCTCGAAAAGTCCGTCTGTCGAGTCAGTAGTCTAGTTTGAGTCTAGTCTGCATAGTCTATCGAGTCTGCATATGTATAGAGTCATTTCTATTCATGTGAGGGATTGTTGGAACCCAATATTAATAAGCATTTGGACTTGTAATATTGAGTTTGTGTGTGAATAAGAAATGAAGTTTAATAAGCAAATGGGCCTTATAAATTCATTTGAGATTTGGGTTTGAGCCTATGGAAATGAAATGTTCCTATTGGCTATAACTAAAAGTGGAAGTTTAGTGGAATTGTATTTGTCCCACATTGCTCACAAAGGAGAAAAATCTCTTGTATAAATATGACCTTCTCACAATAAGGGTCAACAGCATTGTGGAAGTAAAAGGGCATTATGCAAAAACACCTACGCGCGCCGCCGCCGCCGTCGCCGTCGCCGGTACCAGTGCCGGGTTCGGGCTCGGCCTCGTTGCTCGTTGCTCGTTGCTCGTTGCTCGTTGCTCGTTGCATTTTTTAATTAGCTCTTAGGGCTCTTGGGCTCTTGGGCTCTTGGGCTCTTGGGCTCTTGGGCTCTATATAGCTGGGTGTGGGTCGTGGGCTTCTTAGTTCCTGCGAAATATTTTTTGCATATTGAAAGGATAAATCTTAGGAAATAAAAGATTGCGTCCAGATAATAACGGAAGATTTCCGAATCCTTTTACTCGCGGAAATATGAGAATATCTCGTAATATTCCTTTTCGCAAAAGCTTATTCCTTGCGAATCAAGCTGAACCTTACGGTATAAATAGACGCCCTCTTCTCTCATTCTAGATCATCGAATTAAGAATCGGATTTTCGAATACTCCAAATACACAGCAAATCCCTCTCGTCTTAATATCGTAAGTGTCTCGAGAGTTATAGCGTAGTATTTTAGTTCACAGATTCTATTACGGGTGTTGCGTAATAGTCTCATCACGGTTGTGTCCTGGGATTCAAAAATCGCAACAAACCGTCTCACACTACGGGCGATTTATTGAGTTAAGGAAAGAGATCATATCTCGACTCCGTGTTTTCGTCTGTTTTCAATCGGTTTTCAAACTCTCATTTTAATCTCTTACCTTAACATATCGTTTATAATATTGCTATTTTCTATTCGTGATTTCAATCGGATTTCGCGGTCTTACAAATATTCTTTCCCTTGACATCTTTTAGTACAGATATGTCTAAAAGATTTGTCGAATATCCAAAAATAATTTGACTAGATAAAAAAAATCAACACCAAATTGTATCTAACCTGGTAAATAAATAAATAAAAAAACAAACCGAATTGACTAATCTGAAGTGGTTAAAGATTAGTTTTTGTTTGACTTTACACGTGATCGTAGTTGCAAGCATTGTCTCTCTCTATATATATCCACTGATCTTGTTGTGGCTACACACCTAATCAAACTACTATCTTCTTCTTGGTTCTTTATCATCTCCTCCGCACATTTCTCTTCTTTTTGGTCAAAAAACCATTAGTCTTAAGAACACATTTCTCTATTTTATACATATAAAGGAAATTAGTAATGGAATATAAAGTAAAATCATCATCATCTTCTTCTTCATTCACCACTCAACTCTTTGGCCCCAAGGAACCTTCTTCCTCCTCCAACTTCAACTCTATTTTCCCTCCTCCCTCAAAGGTCCTACTATTATCCCCTCTTCCTATAAATCCTTCTGTTGTGTATTTTTTCCCTGATTGATTCTTGAATTTCATTCTTCCTTTTCTTAGGGAACAGCAAGAAACATCCTAAGCTCCAAACATGGGTCCCTAGGTCAGTGGAAAAGTCTTTCTCGTACTTTTTTTTTTTGTTTGGACCTGTTTACTTAAACCTCAGAAATCTTGTCGTCCTTCTTGAATCTATATGGTTCCTTTGCTTTACATGAAGCCAAGTTTCATCGGAAAACGTTCTGATTCATCTCGAAACACATGTAACTCTTGATTCAAGAATGGCTCAAGTTGCTTTATTTTTGTTTGGTATTAAGTCAAATCAAGAACATCAAAATATCAATCAAGAGTTTGTCCAAACTGCTTCCTTTTGCTTGAAACTATGCAAAAACTATTATTTAATGAAGAAAACGTCCGAATTTAGCTGATCTAACAAATACATGATCTCCTCCGTTTTTGTGGTTTCTTCACAGACGAACGTAAGGAATCGGCAACCTGCAATCTAAGTTCATCTCTTTACTACGGTGGTCAAGACGTTTACTCTGGATCCACAAGCAACCATACTTACCCTACCGTGAGTCATAATCTATCCGTGTTGCTACTAATTCATATCGATCATTTTAATCTTCTGATTTTTTTTTTTTTAAAGATATATGCTTGACGTTGTCAAAATGCTAAATCAATCAGGTTAACAAGGCACAGCCCAGAGGAAACGATGACGCTAGTGGAAACAACTCGCAGGACGCATCCAGAGGAAACTGGTGGCAAGGCATATTCTCTGACATACCGATTTCTCTTTTAATCTCATGTCTTTCTTTTGTTTACCTTCTAACACTTCCTGTATCTCGACATTTATTGCAGGTTCACTTTATTATTAGAATATTTTTCTTTCGGAACTATGAAGAACATCAAGTTGAAACAGAGAACGATTTTGATCGTATCTTTCTTAGTTTGACTTGTTGGAAAGAAATTGTATCCATACGATGCTTTGTTTGTCTCTCTGTCTACTGTTAAATCAAAGATTATATTTTTGTACTTATCAAAGTGCTTGAATTCTGCCTGAAGTGGCAGAGAAACACAGAGGATTATATCTGGCCTTCTAAGTGATCTAATAAAAAGAAAAGACTCAAATCTTTGAAGACAAAGAATATTAGGGCTTAAACCAAAAAAAGAAGGGGACATATTAGGGTTAATAAATAAAAGCGTAGAGAACAAGTAAGACATAGATAACAAGTGCAGAAGGAACTAACACAACAAGAGGCACAATTGCCGCAAGTGCATGAAAGCTTCTCTTACATTCCAAAGGTCCAAGCTTGATCTGAACAAGATCCACTAACGCCATCGTCAAGAACCCGCATCCCAAAACCGACCCGACACACGAAGCAACGATCCCAACTCTCAAAGCCATTAGATTCACGCGCCCCATTCCCGCGTTTAACACACGCGCCTCCTCCACAACGCTCCCGTTGTTCGCTGTTGTCTTGATTGTTTGTTTGAGAGACATAGCGATGAGGCTGGAAAAGAGGAAGAAGCTGAAGGAGTAAACGTGGCTTGAGACTAGTCTCTCCGCTAGCACGGTGCCTTTTGCGGCGATACATCGGTGGAGATGATGGTTTCCGGCGGCGGAGGAGGATGAGGAAACAGGGAAGGTGATGTTTCCGCTTGTGGTGAGGCCGAGGAAAAGAGCAAGCGAGAAGAGGGAATTGACGTTCACGATTCCGTCGAGAGCCGTGACGTGGATTAGCGTCGTTGGGAGGAGCCGTCGTCGGAGAAATTCCACGGCGATGCCGGAGATTGCCATCTAGAGAATTTGAATGGCTGTTTCAGTCGCTATATAAAAGTATATACACTTTTGAGAGAAATGGAAACTTATTTGAACCAAAAAGAAAAATAAAAGTTGTTTTTTAGAGTTTGAGTAAGTGTGTAGCGTCGAAGGTAAGAAATGCGTGTCGTCTCTGGTGAGGAAAAACGACGGGACAGGTGATGATGGGCAACGTGAACCCGTCGTCTTTTTATTTATTTATTCTTGTGTAACCACAGATTTCTCTTTTGGACTAGAAATGTGGAGAGGATTTATGCATAGTTAATTATATTTATAGTTATGAAAATTTTGGATTCAATTTGATGCAATTGATTATTTATCTGCGAAGAGGACATGAACCGATGACATTTTACATCCTTTATTCATTTATTTTCTTTCCCAAAAGAACTTCAACTAATCAAACGAAAATACATTTGCATCATCATCTTACAAATGAAAATCTGTTTTTCATTTTCTATTACGTTATGGAATTAATGCTTTAGATTGAAATATAAGAAAAACAAAAAAAAACAAATCCTCGTAAATCTTCAAGTTCGTTGAGCTCAGTCGTGAAACCGGCCATTGGTAATTGATACCACATGAGCCAGGTTTTTTGGAGTCCATTATAAAATGTGTGCATAAATAGTTATGCCGTATAAGACAAGACCAAGTCATCCTCCATATTAAACTATGTTGTTCCAACTATATAAAGAGTTTTTCGCAAAAAAAAAAAAAAACTATATAAACAGCTTAGATCCCATGTTGAAATCCTTGAAACCACAGGATATACATTGTACCATTTTGTAGTTTTAATGAATACACATTTAAACTCCATTGGTGGGTAATATCACTCTTCCAAGAGCTATAAATGTAACAACGTGCATACCAAAAAAATAAATGTAACAACGTAACCAAAGGTGCAAAGATGCTTCATGAGCCTTGGTTGTCTTAAGACTCTCATTAGCGTTAAATGAAGCCTTAACATTCTTATATTTTAAAACGAGCGAAAAATTAACAATTCTTCGGTTTAAGAATCTGCCAATAAAAACCATGGTAAATTTTGTTAGTCCCAATTCCCAAGAGACAATTTCTGTCAAATATTACAGGAACATTTTGTCAATTTAATTCCAACAATCGGACATTCACCACCTCATTATCAGAGTCAGCATAAAGTTTTGAAAATTTAGTTCAATTTAGTTCAATTTAGTTTTTTTTTTTTTTGTTTTTTACAAAGAATTCAATTTTGGTTACTAAACACGCTGTGCCTTAAAAGAAAAACAAATAAATTATAAAACATTTTTATTTTGAAAATTAAGTTAATCAATCTCTAAGAAAATATATTTTATATCCAAAACATTATATGTATCTTTCTAATCTTAGATGTTCTTCATTCATATGCATGTTTTTATTCATAATATACTAATTTGATATAGAAAGAAGGATTACAGCTATACATCACGTAAACAAGGCAAATATATATGTTTAGGGGATTATCTAAAATAATGACTGTTTGTACCACACAAAGTTTGACAATTCAATAGGTGCTGTACTTGTACTACAATACCATTACATATACTGCATTTAAGAAATCACAAGAAAGAAAAGAAAATCTCAATAAATACGAAACCATTCTCTTTTAAGATTTTGGTCTCAAACACAAACAAACTCAGAATTTCATCGTCACCATGGATCATGATAACATGCATAACATGCCACCACCGTCATCATCATCAATGGCGAATCAAACAAAACCCCACATGATGATGATGCACATGACTTTCTTCTGGGGCAAGAACACGGAGGTTCTCTTCTCCGGCTGGCCCGGGACAAGCTCCGGCATGTACGCTCTTTGTCTCATAGTTGTTTTCCTCCTCGCCGTAATCGCCGAATGGCTCGCACATTCTCCCATCCTCCGTGGCGGTGGCTCCACCAGCCGCGCCGCTGGGATCGCTCAGACCGCCGCGTACACACTCAAGACTGGTCTCTCGTATCTCGTGATGCTCGCCGTTATGTCCTTTAACGGCGGCGTTTTCATCGTCGCTATCGCCGGATACGCCGTTGGTTTCTTGGTATTTGGAAGCAAAACTTTCAAGAAACCATCCGATGACCGGAAAATCGCCGACGTTCTCCCGCCGTCGTCAGGCTGCGTTTGCTGATGATAATAGCTTTTGAATTTTTCCTTATAAAGAACTTTCCGTTTGCGTTGTGGTTTGCTTTGAATCTTAATATTTCGTTATGGTTACATCGACTAATAGTGGAAGTTAAATATTTTCTATTGATTTTCTTTGGTTAGTAGCTAGTACAAATAATTTCACAAAATTAATTCCACAAGTTCATTAATGTTTTTGGAATCTAATGAAAATCATGTCCAATCCCATTCCATTACTTTTGAATTTTTAAGGGATATGGTTTTTTTTAATACTATATATAACTACGAAGTGAGATTTATTTAAAAAATATTATATTGAAAAACTTAATTAGATATAAGTATATATTATATAATAGTTATGATTAATTATTTTTGGTTTTTTGTCAAATATTCTTGTGATTTGTTTAACGCATATAAATTACATTTTTAAAATACATACATAATATATTAATAAATAATTGTAATATCATCATATAATTAAAAATGCATCTATAACATGCCTCCAAATATAGTTGTAATATCATTATACTTTACATTATTCATATATATTAAATTTGTGAATTATGCAAATATATAAACATAGTAGTATATGATAATATCTTAAAATATAAGATAAGATAATGTAAATGGTTGTTATGGTTTAAAATAGCAGAATTGTAATTATTCTAGTAATATGACCGAGTCGAGTGGAACTTCTTGGAAGCTCTGATGACTCAAATGGGATTCCATAATACTTGGATATCATGGATAATGAGATGTGTGCAATCAGTTTCCTATAGTATCCTCGTAAATGGATCCCTGACAGGGAAAATAATTTCATCTAGAGGACTACGACAAGGAGATCCTTTATCGCCATACCTCTTTATTCTATGTACAGAAGTCCTGATTTCTAATATCAAGGCGGCAGAATCAGCTGGCCTTATATCTGGTTTGAAAGTTGCTCAAACAAGCCCAGCGATTTCTCATTTGTTATTTGCAGATGACAGCCTTTTCTTCTGTAAAGCAGATCCCACCCAATGCAACTCATTCCTAGACATCCTCAGAATCTACGGAAATGCATCAGGGCAAAGAATAAACTTTGAGAAGTCTGCCATCACGTTTGGAAAAAAAGTCTTGCCAGAAAGTAGAGAGCTTTTGAAAAATATCTTGGGCATCACGGCAGATGGAGGGTCTGGTAAATACTTAGGCCTCCCAGAGCAACTCCAAGGATCAAAGACACAAGTCTTTGCGTATATTCGTGACCGACTCCATCAAAGAATTAATGGATGGTCCGCAAAACTTCTCTCAAAAGCGGGCAAAGAAATAATGATTAAATCCGTAGGACTAGCAATTCCGACATTTGCAATGTCATGCTACCTATTTCCGAAAGAGCTTTGTAAAAAGCTTACTAGTGCTATTTCCAACTTCTGGTGGAGCTCAGCCTCTAACTCCAAAGGAATGCACTGGATTGCATGGAACAAACTGTGTTTGCCAAAACATGATGGAGGATTAGGCTTTCGATCTCTTGAAGAGTTTAACCGGGCCTTATTGGCTAAACAATTATGGCGTCTTGAACAACACCCAAACTCCCTTTTGGCTAGAGGGTTAAAAGGCAGATATTTCAAGAATTCGCACCCGTTTAAAGCCCCCAAAGCGTCCAGGCCATCTTATGGCTGGAAAAGTATGTGGGCTGCGAAAGAGTTAGTTTTAAAAGGTGCTCGCAGAACTATTGGTACAGGAACCCAAACCCTAGTCTGGGAAGATCCATGGTTACCTGATACATTAGCTCGTCCACCGAAAAGTGTCCCAGGGATGAATGACCCTCTTTTATTAGTCTCTGATCTCATCAACCCTGACACAAAAACATGTGATATTCACCTCATCCGGGATGTCATAGACCCTCGTGATATACCCTTGATACTCAGTATCCACATAAGTCACACTCCTAATGATGATGGATACTGTTGGAATCTCTCAAAAACGGGAGCATACTCCGTACGATCGGGCTACAAATTAGCACGCTCTGAGTTAGACGAAGAAACAGCCTTCACCTACCAACAACCCTCTTTAAATCCCCTAAAAAGAGAAATTTGGAGGCTTAAATCACCAAAGAAGATGTGTCACTTCTTATGGCAAATGCTATCTGGAGCAGTGGCAGTGAATGAGCGCCTAACCAAAAGGCATATAGGAACGGATCCCAGCTGTCCTAGATTTGGAGAGGCAGAAGAAACTATCAATCATACCATATTTTTATGTCCACCAGCTCTCCAATGTTGGGCCCTATCATCAATTCCCTCTGCGACAGAGATGTTCCCATCACAAAATCTCTACGAGAATGTGGATTACCTATTACAAAACATCCTAAACAGAGAGAACTTTACAGAGTCGACTAGGGTGTTCCCTTGGCTTGTTTGGTATATTTGGAAAGCACGCAATGATAAGTTATACAATGGACAAGACCGATCTCCATCTGAAACACTTGATCTTGCACTATGGGAAAGCGAAGCATGGTTCTCAGCTAACCAAGATACGGACTCCATTGATCTTTCAACGGAAGATATAGATTCTCAAGTTATGGATCCACCAATTCTCACTTGTCGAATAGATGGATCTTGGAAAGAAGATAATCCCACAAGCGGTGTGGGTTGGATCTTGCACCTTCAAGATGGATCTATAGACCTCCTAGGCCTACAAGGAATCTCTCCTCTCCATCTCGAACTACTCAGCCTGATTTGGGCTTTCAGATGTCTAAATAGACACAACCGGTACTGTAATTATTTTGTTACAGACTCACAGGAGTTAGTACAAATGGTTACTAGACCAAAAGAATGGCCAGCATTTGCAACAGAGCTACAAGAACTTGAGGAACTTGGAGGCTTCTCCCCCGACATCAACATTGTATTTGAGCCGAGAACCAGAAATCAACAAGCGGACTTCCTCGCTAGGAGCGCTCGCACCCGAAATCGTGTTTTCTCTTATGTGAGCACGTCGGTGCCTTTCTGGTTAGATGTTGAAAATTCGCCTTTAGCGAATCTATTTTAAGTGAATGTATTATCTCGTGACAAAAAAAAAAAATTATTCTAGTAATTAAAGACCACTTTTAATAGAACTTTGAGAAGCTCTCTGAACTTGACACCTACACAATTGTAAATCACATATGACACAAAATCATTTACATAAGATAAGATAATGTAAATGGTTGTTATGATTTAAAATAGCAGAATTGTAATTATTCTAGTAATTAAAGACCACTTTTAATAGAACTTTGAGAAGCTCTCTGAACTTGACACCTCAGCATGACACAATTGTAAATCACATATGACACAAAATCATTTACATAAGATAAAATAATATAAATGGTTGTTATGGTTTAAAATAGCAGAATTGTAATTATTCTAGTAATTAAAGACTACTTCTAATAGAACTTTGAGAAGCTCTCTGAACTTGACACCTCAGCATGACACAATTGTAAATCACATATGACACAAAATCATTTACATAAGATAAGATAATGTAAATGGTTGTTATAGTTTAAAATAGCAGAATTGTAATTATTCTAGTAATTAAAGACCACTTTTAATATAACTTTGAGAAGCTCTCTGAACTTGACATCTCAGCATGACACAATTGTAAATCACATATGACACAAAAATCCTTTTTAATGTGTCATTGTAAAATAATAATAATAGAAGATTACGTATTAAATATTGGAGATCGAAACAACAAAGTTTTCCACCGTGCAGTTAAAACTAGAGCAGCCAGAAATGGGATTAGAGAACTTGAGGTTGCTGGTATGATTGTCACGGACAGGAATGAGATTAAAGAAATTGCAGCAAACCATTTTTCTGCGTTTCTAAATCTTGTGCCGGAGGATCTTCAGATGGCTAGTGTAAACCAAATGCGTGAGTTGATTGGGTTTCAATTCTCTGCAGAAGATCGAAGTCAGCTGGTTTCAGAGGTCTCGTTGGAAGAGGTTAAAAATGTGCTGTTTGGCATGCCTTCAAACAAATCTCCAGGTCCTGATGGGTATACGGTTGAATTTTTTAAACAGAGCTGGCCAATCATTGGTTCGGATTTGGTGGTGAGCATCCAATCCTTCTTCCTCAAAGGATTCTTACCCAAAGGAGTTAACTCAACCATTCTTGCTCTTATTCCCAAGAAAGTAGGGGCAAAGCAAATGAAAGATTTTAGACCGATCTCATGTTGCAATGTGCTGTATAAGATCATTTCTAAAATCTTGGCCAATCGCCTGAAACAAATCCTGCCGAAATTTGTGGCATCAAATCAATCTGCTTTTGTTCAAGATCGTCTTCTCATTGAGAATCTCCTTCTTGCTTCTGAGTTGGTCTCGGGTTATCATAAGAGCAACATATCCCCTCGATGTGCTCTTAAGATAGATATATCAAAGGCGTTTGATTCGGTTCAGTGGGGATTCTTGCTTGGTATTTTAGAGGCTCTAAATCTTCTTCCGGAGTTCATTCACTGGATCAAATTGTGCATATCGACAGCCTCTTTTTCTGTGCAAGTTAATGGGGAGCTGTCAGGTTACTTTGGTAGTTCGAGGGGTTTAAGACAGGGTTGCTCGCTCTCACCGTATTTGTTTGTTATCTGTATGAATGTTCTCTCAAAGATGCTTGACAAAGCAGCGAACCAGCGACGTTTCAGATTTCATTCAAAGTGTGCAAATACTAGCTTAACACACTTGTGTTTTGCAGATGATCTGATGATTTTCTCTGATGGAACTATGCGATCTATTGAAGGTATTCTTGAGGTCTTCGACGAGTTCTCACGAATTTCAGGCTTAAAGATCAGTGTGGAAAAGTCCACAATTTTTCTTGCAGGGGTCTCGGACTCGGTCAGAAATGAGATCGCCCAACGGTTTGCCTTTGATTTTGGATCCTTACCGGTGAGATATTTGGGACTGCCACTGTTAACAAAAAAAATGCGCACTCTTGATTATGCGCCCTTGATCGAAAAAGTCAAAGGACAATTTAATTCTTGGACAGCGCGGGCCTTATCGTTCGCAGGTAGA